ACCGTACTTCTATAGTTCTCTAGCCAGAAATTTTAGCTGGCTGTCTCAGGGAATTATTATTGGTATTCTCTACCTATCCCAATTGATCAGTCCAATTTTTTTCTAACCAACTGTTACCTTTCCCTTCCATGTTTGCAGAAGGCACTCATTTCTCATTTATTCTTTGTTTATTAGCAAAGCTAGAAGTAACAAAGGACCAATGTTATAAATTCTTATTGGTGCAGTAAACCTACTGATGTTCTTATCTAAGAACTTTGGAACATAGTTTCAGTTCTGTCTAAAGAGCCATAAACTGCATATTTGTCATAAAGACAATTCAGACCCAGGAATGGAGCTGGAGCAAAGCTGGTTTTCTGTCATATATTTTGCAATCTCCTTATTTCAAATCTCTGAATCAGTCAGGTTCTCTGAAGTTGGATATTACAGGTAGTCCTCTACTTATAACCATTCCTTCAAGCAATAGTTCAAAATTACAACGGCACTGAAAAAGGTTATTTATGACCAGTGCTCAAAGTTACAGCCATTGCAGCACCCCCACAGTCACATGATAAAAATTCGGGCGATTGGCCGCCCACCCACACTTACGACTGCAAAGGTGTTTCAACTCCACCCACCCACCTATCTCCCCCTACCTCTGCCCTTTTTGGGACCCTGCACCCTGCCTTGCAGGGTGGCAAGCAGCTCCATAACCGCGCAGCTCTGGAGCTGCTTGCCACACCCTAGGAAGCTGCAGCCGCCCCAGCCCAGTCCCAGCCAGTTGCCCTCGCCATCCTGCACTCTGAGACCCCTGCACTCCACTGCCCCAGCTCATCTTGCCATCTTCTTCCTCTCGCTGCTGACAAGGCATGCCCAGCCTGGGCCTTCATGCCAAGAAGCCCCTTTGCGTGGAGCCGGCAAAAGCAAGCCCCTTTGCAAGCGGCTTCTCTGGTGAATGTTACTTCTTGATCAGGGTCATGTCACTACTACATTAAGGTTGAAGAAGAGTACATCACTTTCTATTCTGCCACCTGTTTTGTCAACACCCTAGTGGAGTCCTAGAACAAAGAACTAGTTTGAATACAATAGCCTCTAGCCAAATAGCAGGTTTTTCCCAGTTTGCTGGGAGTTGGGAGCAGTGATGCAAATCACTATGGGTAAAGTGTAAGTGGGAAAAAATGTAATAAATTCAGCATAGAACCCATCTACAATGTTTATTTTATGGGAAATGTCAGCAATGTATCACCAGAGCTTGCTAATTTAGCAAGAACCAGGCACTAGCATCATGATTCAAATAGGCAATAACAATTTTCTTTTCAATCATAATGAAACGTATTTATTTATCTGGCATTTTAAAGAACTATTGATTGTAAGGCAAGGCATGACTGCATGGAACGTATTGCCTCAGTTAATCTCATACCTCAGGCAAGTAAACTCTTAACTAGGCAAGTATTATTTTTTAAAACAATTAAATTAAAAAAGGAAATATTCACCAACAGTCTCCTGCAGTAGCCAATTTTCCTACTCCCATCAATATTGGTAAGGACAAAAGAAAATGTTTCGCTGTAAAGAATAAAAGACATAGAATGTTACTAGTTTTATTTATTTATTTATCACATTTATATAGCTGCTCATCTCACAGAACGTGACTCTGGGCAGCATACATTAAAAACACACCACAAAAAATAACACTTTAAAAAGCATTCTACAATTAAAAACACCAGTCAAAGTTACCAATGAGAGTAGCAGAAAAACCTGTCGTGATAGACTGGACTGTTTCCGTTGTTCTTGAGCTGGGCATGACGGGCTTTAAGGGTCAAAACCAGCACCTTGAATTGGACCTGGAAGCAAACTGGCAATCAGTGCAGCTCCCGGAGCAGAGGTGTAACATATGCTGTTCTAGAGGGACACATAATTGCCCATGCCACCGCATTTTGCATCAGCTGCTGAATACTCTTCAAAGGGCAGTTCCATGTAGAGCGCATTACAGTAGTCCAATCTGGAGGTGACTAGGGCATGAGTGACTGTGACCAGAGCCTCCTGGTCCAGGAATGGGCACAACTGGCACACAACACGGAGCTGTGCAAAGGCCCTCCTAGCCACGACTGCCACCTGATCTTTGAGCAGGGGTTGTGAGTCCAGGAGGACCCCCAGATTGTGCACTGGGTCTGTCTGGGGCAGTGCCACTCCATCCAGCACCAAAAATGGTATAGTCCTAGAACCAGCAGGACCCAAAACCCAGAGCCACTCAGTCTTGCCTGGGTTCAGTTGAAGCCTGTTGTTCCCCACCCAGACCCCACAGCCTCCAGGCACCGGGATAGAACATCAACAGCAAACTATTTATAATATTTATAAAAATAGTTTGCAAAATATTGCATGGAAATTATACAAGAAAAGCTATTGAGTATAGCATTTATTTTAGCCAGGGCTACTGAAAAAAGAAAGAAAATCTGCTCTGGAATCCAAAATCTATTGGGACTATCATACCAAAAGTTCCCAGAAGGCCATTCTGATCGTTCATGGCCCAACAGATGCACTCTTCAGGCAAGGAAGAGCCTATCCACATGGCCAAGAGTTGCTATGACCCACCCAACCATGTGTAGTTAAAGCCCAGAAAAAGAAATATCTTAGGAGCATTCAACTTACTATCATGATCAATTTTATTCCTCTTTGAGGAACCCAGAGCAGTATACAAAAAAGCATGAAAGACCATCTTCCATTAAAAACTATTCAATAACATCCATTTTAAAAAGCTCCCTTGAAAGAAAACAATAAAATAGGAATATGCCCATTAAAAATAGAATTCAGTTAAAACAGCCTATTTTCTCCCCTGTCAGCGTCTTTTGGGGGTTACAGATCATTTAAACTACTGCTCCTGTACATAAGGCTGCATTTTTGCAGCTCTCTCCTCCAAACTGCCATTTGTACTCAGAGATTCAGAAAACTCTATTCACTACGTAAAGGAAGTCCCCAAAATTAGCATTTGGTTGAAGATCTTCAAGCAAGAGTGGGAAAATTGCCATATTTGCTGGCTGAATAACCTGTCAGGTAAATTTTCTCAAGCAAGCTATACTGTAAAAATCAAGGATAATATTTCTCCCTGAAAAGGGAAGAAGAGATACAAAGAACATACTCAGAATTAAACCTGTTCATATATTATCTTTAGTGTTTAGTACATTACAGAGATGCAAAACAAGGGAGGCTCTAATATTTTCATTAAACTGAGAAAAAGCTATGTCAAATTTTAAAATTATTGTGGAAAAATCATGATACTAGTTAAGAAAAATAACCACAAATACTATAAACCACCTTCACAGAGAGTTACAACGACTACCTAAATCCTTGCAAATAACAATATAAATGTGATTCCTAACCTTAGTAGAAATTGATTTAAACCAGTATCACAATTACAGTGCTTTAGCATTGAGTGGAATAAGGATCCAGCAATTCTGGGCTGGTTGTTTTACAGAAATCAGGAAAATGTGGAGTTCTTTTTTGTTATTTGTTTGCTTTTGTTTTCCTGGCATTCAATATTAGGGTATACTTGGTCTCCCGTAATACGGTTCTACATCCTTGCTGGTGTACTATCCCAGGACAGTTACCTCTTGTAGTCTGTGAGGGGTGCCCATTCATTACCATCTGGGAAGCAGAACAAGGGAATGGCCTGAAGCAACCTTTCCTCTTCTTCACGCTGTCCTCTCAGCAGATTTTCACGCTGAAATGAGAAGCAAAAAGTAGATGCAAAAAAGTTTCCCTCACAACTTTATTTGTGTCTTCAAGTCAGCGTTGACTCTTGGCGACTGCCTGGACAAGTCCCTGCAGTTTTTTTTTTTGGCAGGATTTCAGAAGTGGTTTGCCATTGCCTCCTTCCCAGGGCTGAGAGCGAGTGACTGGCTTTGTGCCTAAGGCAGGACTAGAGCTCACAGTCTCCTGGTTTCTAGCCTGATGCCTTACCACTGCACCAGACTGGCTTTCTCTTCACAATTTGACCCAGGCAAACTAATGTCTGCATTTGTTAGGGGTGCAAAAGTGACAAATCACAAATAAAGACAGAGGCTGCTTATACCACTTACAGATGCATATTCAGTCATGTATGGTATGTGTATTAATGTATTGTGTCTTTGGAGCATTTCCATGCATGACATAAAACTCACGGTCACCCACTTTTGTCAAAACTAATCTCAGAAGCAAAACCTTCAGTTCTTATAAACAGATAATTGCATATATTTTACACACATATTACTATATCACTCTCAAAATGATGGTTATGCTTGTAAAATTACTAAGATAATGTTATAAAGCACTTTTTACATTCTCAAATGACATCCAATAATCATTATTAGCAATGTGTAGCCAAATGACTTGTAGATTTGTTTTTTTCCAAATGCAAGTTTCAACAAGAAAACAATTTATCTCCATATAGTGAATACTGGTCTGTCTTGAAAAACATGATTGTCTCTAAGAACAAAAACAAAAAGCAGTATTACATATTTAGACAGGATCATTACTCAGTGGTAAAGCAGATGCTTTGTAGGCACAAGATCCAAGATTCAATCTCTGGCATTTCTGAATAAATGATCAAACATTAATTAAATACACTAATGTGATGTTTTCCAGCTGTATATTTAATAACTTTCCCCTTCTGTCACATTAAAACTTACAATTTGATTTCAGTGTTTGGAAGCCCATGAAGGTCACTTCCAAGGTTTCTGGAGGCCACATGTAACCCTAATCCTCAGACTGTGGGCCTCTGAGATAGAAGGTGAGCAAGAAAGACCTGAAAGCTGCTTCTAGTCGGAATGAACAGTATTATTTTGACAGGCTGGCTCTGTATACAGCAGCTTCCTAGACCCCATACACATACAGCTTGGTTGGTTGGTGCTCAGCACTTAGCAGGATTTTACAAAAGAAAGAAAAACAGCAAAACGCTTGCAGCAATTTAGCTGTACTCCTGCATACCTTTTCTTCTATGCACTCACCATCACAAAGCAGAAGAACTTCATGTACAGAACCCTTCTCCTCATCAGAATGTAAACAGATCTAGGGCTTTCCCCATTTGCAACTAACCACAGCACAAAGATGTTCTGATCTTCCTCAGTGTCCCTTTAATGTTGCCTTTACTGTATTTCACCCTCAGCACTTGATTGAGACAGTCTTAAATTAGCATTAGTTTATTTTCCCCATGGCTCTAATTTTGTCCAAGGACAGCTTCAAGATATATAAAATCCATTAGACTTTGTCACTCCTTACTTTGGAAGGAAGTCAGATGACTGCAGTAATGTGAAAAGAAACAATAGAAGCAGGGCAGGGATCGGGAAATGGGGCAGGGATGGGAAAAAGTAAATGCCATCCTGCTATACTTTCTGCAAGCTGAAAGATGGGTGGACTGCATTTCAATGCAATAGCAGGGAAAGGCTTCTAGGTTGCTTATTAATCTAAGGGAGACCTACTGTGTTTAATGCCTCTACTGAATGTCGTAGGAGCAAGGCCATATCCATAGTGTGAAGTTTAAGAGCACCTGCTCAGCAATGAAAGAACAATGCAACAGCAGGTTACATCTTAAGCATCTTGTATTCACATCTGGTGTTTTTGGTTGCACAAAGGCAAGACAGACCTTTATGTTTCTCTTAAGAACCAATCGTGTACTTCCCCGTGCTACATAGGCTGAGTGATGAAAACGTATAGCCAAATAAAATGAAATTGCTGCACTATGAAAGGGAACCATATAAAGCAAAGCCACAAAGTACAGGTAGTCCTCGAAATTTCCTTGGAAAAAGTGGATGAATATTTACATAAAGAGAATTTACCAAAGATTACAGAAAATCAGAGACAAATTTTGAATGGACCTATAACAATAAAAGTTTGTGAAGTTATTAAAGACTAAAACAGGAAAGGCACCTGGTCCAGATGGTCTGCCAGCCTCTTATTACAAATGTTTTGAGGATCAATTTTTATAACCTTTACAATAAATGATGAATATTATTTTACAGAATGGAAAGATTCCTGACATCTGGAAAGAGGCCAGTGTAGCATTAATACCTAAAGAGGCCTAGGACCTGACTTTAACAAGAAATTATTAACCAAATATCTTTATTGAGTAATGACTACACATTGTTTACAATGTTTTTGGCTGAAAAGTTGAAAATAATTTTATAGGACTTTATTCATGAAGATCAATGTGGGTTTTTATCAAAAAGACAATTACGAGATAATATTAGAAATGTGTTGGATATTCTGGAGTATTTGGAGCAACACAATGAAAATCAAGCTACGTTGATCTTAGATGCAGAGAAGGCCTTTGATAATTTGAACAGGATTTTCTTGTTTAGAATTCTGGAAGATATGAACTTTGAAGATAATTTTATTAAATGGGTAAGATCAAGTTATACCTCACAGAAAGCACAAGTAATTGTTAATGGAAAATTAACAAAACCTTGTGAGATTCAAAAAGGGATAAGACAAGGATGCTCACTCCTCTCTTGTTTATTTTAGTCCTTGAAATACTCAATAGAGACATAAGACAAGATGAGAGAATTGTGGGAATAAAGATTTAAAAAGAAACGTATAAGTTAAGGGCATTTGCTGATGACCTGGTGGTAATTTTGGAGGATCTGTTAGAGGTAGTAGAAACATTAATGGGAAAATTAAAGGACTTTGGTATGCTAGCAGGTTTTAAGATTAAT